TCATAAACACGAGATCTAGTCATATTTGACTCCAAAAACACTAACCAAGCTTCTTATTGCTTCTCAAATCTTTGTGGGTGTGGCCGAAGTCCTATGAGTTTTCGGTTTTGGAGCTTCTAAACGGAAAAACACTACTTTAGCTTTTGGGATCCGGTTGCGGTTCTAGTTCTTATACCCAATCATAAACACGAGATCTAGTCATATTTGACTCCAAAAACACTAACCAAGCTTCTTATTGCTTCTCAAATCTTTGTGGGTGTGGCCGAAGTCCTATGAGTTTTCGGTTTTGGAGCTTCTAAACGGAAAAACACTACTTTAGCTTTTGGGATCCGGTTGCGGTTCTAGTTCTTATACCCAATCATAAACACGAGATCTAGTCATATTTGACTCCAAAAACACTAACCAAGCTTCTTATTGCTTCTCAAATCTTTGTGGGTGTGGCCGAAGTCCTATGAGTTTTCGGTTTTGGAGCTTCTAAACGGAAAAACACTACTTTAGCTTTTGGGATCCGGTTGCGGTTCTAGTTCTTATACCCAATCATAAACACGAGATCTAGTCATATTTGACTCCAAAAACACTAACCAAGCTTCTTATTGCTTCTCAAATCTTTGTGGGTGTGGCCGAAGTCCTATGAGTTTTCGGTTTTGGAGCTTCTAAACGGAAAAACACTACTTTAGCTTTTGGGATCCGGTTGCGGTTCTAGTTCTTATACCCAATCATAAACACGAGATCTAGTCATATTTGACTCCAAAAACACTAACCAAGCTTCTTATTGCTTCTCAAATCTTTGTGGGTGTGGCCGAAGTCCTATGAGTTTTCGGTTTTGGAGCTTCTAAACGGAAAAACACTACTTTAGCTTTTGGGATCCGGTTGCGGTTCTAGTTCTTATACCCAATCATAAACACGAGATCTAGTCATATTTGACTCCAAAAACACTAACCAAGCTTCTTATTGCTTCTCAAATCTTTGTGGGTGTGGCCGAAGTCCTATGAGTTTTCGGTTTTGGAGCTTCTAAACGGAAAAACACTACTTTAGCTTTTGGGATCCGGTTGCGGTTCTAGTTCTTATACCCAATCATAAACACGAGATCTAGTCATATTTGACTCCAAAAACACTAACCAAGCTTCTTATTGCTTCTCAAATCTTTGTGGGTGTGGCCGAAGTCCTATGAGTTTTCGGTTTTGGAGCTTCTAAACGGAAAAACACTACTTTAGCTTTTGGGATCCGGTTGCGGTTCTAGTTCTTATACCCAATCATAAACACGAGATCTAGTCATATTTGACTCCAAAAACACTAACCAAGCTTCTTATTGCTTCTCAAATCTTTGTGGGTGTGGCCGAAGTCCTATGAGTTTTCGGTTTTGGAGCTTCTAAACGGAAAAACACTACTTTAGCTTTTGGGATCCGGTTGCGGTTCTAGTTCTTATACCCAATCATAAACACGAGATCTAGTCATATTTGACTCCAAAAACACTAACCAAGCTTCTTATTGCTTCTCAAATCTTTGTGGGTGTGGCCGAAGTCCTATGAGTTTTCGGTTTTGGAGCTTCTAAACGGAAAAACACTACTTTAGCTTTTGGGATCCGGTTGCGGTTCTAGTTCTTATACCCAATCATAAACACGAGATCTAGTCATATTTGACTCCAAAAACACTAACCAAGCTTCTTATTGCTTCTCAAATCTTTGTGGGTGTGGCCGAAGTCCTATGAGTTTTCGGTTTTGGAGCTTCTAAACGGAAAAACACTACTTTAGCTTTTGGGATCCGGTTGCGGTTCTAGTTCTTATACCCAATCATAAACACGAGATCTAGTCATATTTGACTCCAAAAACACTAACCAAGCTTCTTATTGCTTCTCAAATCTTTGTGGGTGTGGCCGAAGTCCTATGAGTTTTCGGTTTTGGAGCTTCTAAACGGAAAAACACTACTTTAGCTTTTGGGATCCGGTTGCGGTTCTAGTTCTTATACCCAATCATAAACACGAGATCTAGTCATATTTGACTCCAAAAACACTAACCAAGCTTCTTATTGCTTCTCAAATCTTTGTGGGTGTGGCCGAAGTCCTATGAGTTTTCGGTTTTGGAGCTTCTAAACGGAAAAACACTACTTTAGCTTTTGGGATCCGGTTGCGGTTCTAGTTCTTATACCCAATCATAAACACGAGATCTAGTCATATTTGACTCCAAAAACACTAACCAAGCTTCTTATTGCTTCTCAAATCTTTGTGGGTGTGGCCGAAGTCCTATGAGTTTTCGGTTTTGGAGCTTCTAAACGGAAAAACACTACTTTAGCTTTTGGGATCCGGTTGCGGTTCTAGTTCTTATACCCAATCATAAACACGAGATCTAGTCATATTTGACTCCAAAAACACTAACCAAGCTTCTTATTGCTTCTCAAATCTTTGTGGGTGTGGCCGAAGTCCTATGAGTTTTCGGTTTTGGAGCTTCTAAACGGAAAAACACTACTTTAGCTTTTGGGATCCGGTTGCGGTTCTAGTTCTTATACCCAATCATAAACACGAGATCTAGTCATATTTGACTCCAAAAACACTAACCAAGCTTCTTATTGCTTCTCAAATCTTTGTGGGTGTGGCCGAAGTCCTATGAGTTTTCGGTTTTGGAGCTTCTAAACGGAAAAACACTACTTTAGCTTTTGGGATCCGGTTGCGGTTCTAGTTCTTATACCCAATCATAAACACGAGATCTAGTCATATTTGACTCCAAAAACACTAACCAAGCTTCTTATTGCTTCTCAAATCTTTGTGGGTGTGGCCGAAGTCCTATGAGTTTTCGGTTTTGGAGCTTCTAAACGGAAAAACACTACTTTAGCTTTTGGGATCCGGTTGCGGTTCTAGTTCTTATACCCAATCATAAACACGAGATCTAGTCATATTTGACTCCAAAAACACTAACCAAGCTTCTTATTGCTTCTCAAATCTTTGTGGGTGTGGCCGAAGTCCTATGAGTTTTCGGTTTTGGAGCTTCTAAACGGAAAAACACTACTTTAGCTTTTGGGATCCGGTTGCGGTTCTAGTTCTTATACCCAATCATAAACACGAGATCTAGTCATATTTGACTCCAAAAACACTAACCAAGCTTCTTATTGCTTCTCAAATCTTTGTGGGTGTGGCCGAAGTCCTATGAGTTTTCGGTTTTGGAGCTTCTAAACGGAAAAACACTACTTTAGCTTTTGGGATCCGGTTGCGGTTCTAGTTCTTATACCCAATCATAAACACGAGATCTAGTCATATTTGACTCCAAAAACACTAACCAAGCTTCTTATTGCTTCTCAAATCTTTGTGGGTGTGGCCGAAGTCCTATGAGTTTTCGGTTTTGGAGCTTCTAAACGGAAAAACACTACTTTAGCTTTTGGGATCCGGTTGCGGTTCTAGTTCTTATACCCAATCATAAACACGAGATCTAGTCATATTTGACTCCAAAAACACTAACCAAGCTTCTTATTGCTTCTCAAATCTTTGTGGGTGTGGCCGAAGTCCTATGAGTTTTCGGTTTTGGAGCTTCTAAACGGAAAAACACTACTTTAGCTTTTGGGATCCGGTTGCGGTTCTAGTTCTTATACCCAATCATAAACACGAGATCTTGTCATATTTGACTCCAAAAACACTAACTAGGCTTCTTATTGCTACTCAAATCTTTGTGGGTGTGGCCGAAGTCCTATGTGTTTTCGGTTTTGAAGCTTCTAAACGGAAAAACACTAATTTAGCTTTTGGGATGCGATTGCGGTTCTAGTTCTTATACCCAATCATAAACACGAGATCTAGACATATTTAACTCCAAACACACTAACCAAATGATACGAATCTCCTACGGATCATAAACTCGGAAATATGTTGAGTGACTGGGATAGGCTTGCAGCAACTGAGCCAAAGCACAGAAGGCAAGTGGTGGATCGAATGGGGTCTGACTCGAGTGTGCAGTCGAGTCAAGTGGTCGAGTGGAGTGAACGGTCGAGTGATGATCGAACGATGGTCGAGTGTGGTTCGGGCTTGACTCGAGTGTTCGGTCGAGTCAAGGGGTCGAGTCAGTGAACGGTGGATTGAAAGGTCACACAGAGGTTGCTGAAGGCCTCTGGATATGACACACCAAAGAAGGAACATGATTTCTTGATGGATATTACACACCTAACAAGAGATGATCTAATCTTAAAGAGTTTTTGATTGAAAAGATAGATAAGTCTCAGAGAGACACACAGAGTTGTTTAAATAGAGAAAGAAGAGAATAAGCCTGGAACAGACTCACAAGGCTATCTCGAAAAGACAAAGAAATTAAAGACAGAATTTGAAAAGATAGAATGACTCTTCTCCTTCTCTTGGACGTGGGCTTTTGTTGCAAAAGAGTCCATGGGCTTCTGATTCAACAAATGGGCCATGATGGAGTGACACAATTGCCTCATTAAAAACCTTGTTGAGAAAACCCATTTGGACAAAACTCAACAAGGGAAAAAGAGTACAATTGGATCACTCTCCCATTGTTGAATCCAATTGGCTTATCTCTTTCTCCAAGCCAAGGTGGTTTGATCAACTTCTTCAATAGAACATCCGCAGCTACAAGCTCATCCTCGGGTTCATGCTGCTCCTCTGGTTCAAGCTGCTTCCTTGCTTCGTGCTGCTCAGGTACAAGCTCATTTCCACATTCCAAGTCCTTGGTGCTTTCCAGGATCACATCATCCTCTCCCACTTGAAAAGGATTTGACCTCAAATCCGATTTATCTGCATTTGAAAGAACCAAGTCAGAAACTTCAAAACTTGAACTCAAATTATGCTTACCTTGGAGATCAATTGTATAATCTTGGTTTTGGGTAAGTCTGAACGCTTTGAAAGGTCTATGCATCGTTGGCTTCAGCTTTGACTTGTATATTTCATTTGGCGGTGCTTTGTTGATTAGTATGAAGCTGCTGATGTCTTAATGTTGATCTTGGTCTAAATTAGGGGGTTTAAACTGATTATCTTCCTCTCTCCATTCAATACTTTGGTGTAGTTCAGGTGGCTTGAATTGAGTGTATTCCTCTCTCCTTTCAGTACTTCTCATGTGCTCTAAGGATGCTTTAAAACCTACATTTGGCTCTTTTGACAAAGACAAGCGAATCATATCTGTGTGATCTGGATTAAAAGCATTTTTGAGAACATAGGCACTTACCTTGGGAATGTTCCTCTGCTCAAGTAATGTGTCTGGTGGGTTCCCCTTGATAGAACATGGGAGTCTTTCTCCAACTTCAAAGATCATCTTCTTGGCTTTAGACCAAGTCATAAGACCTGTTTGTATGATCAATGCTTCATCCGGTCCAAGCTCGAGCTCCTTTTCCAAGTTGATTCTATGTGTAGTACCAAGCTCGATCGAGTTGAATGATGTATGGTTAAGCTCATGTTCTAGTTCTTCTTCAGCTCCTTGCTCATGCATGATCATATCATCCCCCTCCACTTGAAAGGGATTTGACCTCAAATCCAAGTCTCCTACATCAAAAGGAAATAATGTAGACACAAAGAACAAGATAGAACAAAAGAAAACATTAGCAAAGTAATATTTTAGATTAGACCATCCTTTTGCAATGGTAGTTGTTTTCCTTAGATACTTCCAGTTCCAAACTCCAAAGAGATGAGTTCTTGCTTCACTCTCTTTGCTTTCTTTCATTTTTGACCTTGGCTGATCCATGTACTCCTTTGATCCATAATCAAACGGATTAGCAAAAGCATAACTCCTCCTAGCGTTTGGAATAGCATCCTTAACCTGTTTTTCATGAGCTTTCACAAACACTAAAGAAAACACATCAAATGTGCGTGAAGAATCAAATAGCTCCTTATGATGATGCTTAAACAAGTTTTCACAGCCAAAAACTTTTGATTCAGATTCTAAATGATCGCTACTTTCATAGAGTGATTCTGAAGCAAATAAAGCAAATTCAAGTGGCCTTTTCACAGTAGAAAACGTCCTAGACATCCTAGGTTCAGATCTAGCTCCAATCAACTTAGCGCTACTAAACTTAGAAATATTTAGAGAAAAATGTATTTCATGCCATTGATCAATTGAAAGACATTTTGGTTTTAAAAACGTTTCAGGTGTGAGTCTTTCAAAGCTAGTAAGCATGCTGCTAAGAACAGAATCTGAAACTCTAAATTCTTTCACTCTTTCTAGACCAAAACGTTTTTCCTCTTCAGCAGAAACCAACACAAACAAATTAGGCCCTATCCTAACCAAATCAATATCCTTACAGTGCTTTCTTGAGTAGTAAGAAGAAAAAGGCATAAGGACTGGTTCTGGCACAGAGTTAGGCAGTTGCTCCATATCATTAGCCAATGGCAAACTCCTTTGTTCTCCTCTTGTTGAATTTTCTTCTAGGATCTGTGAAAAAGAAACGATACTACTCGGTTGCACCGGTTGTAATTGGGTTAGTTTTTCACAAGCCTGTTTATTTTCAGACACAAGAGAAGTTTGAATAAAAGAAAAATCAAAGTTAGCTTCCAATGACTCCCTGGGAAAGGTAAGATGCTCCTCAGGTTGTTCTTCATTTGCTCTTGAACTGATGTGTCTGGTTGAGTCTCGACATTCTGCTTGATATTGCTCTCAGCTTTTTCTTGCAGCATCTCAGGTTCTTCGCAGAATGGTAAAGGTTGAGCTGATTCTGGCTCTGGAATAGCTAATTCCTCCTCAGGACAACTTGGCCTCTTCTTCGCTTCTTCAGTACCAATAGGTTGGCGATTGGCTGGACTCTTCTTTTGGTCATTCGTAAAAGCATTAAGTGTTTCGAGCATCTTCTCTTCTAATTCCTCAATACGCCTTTGTCTTTGTAACTTGTCCTGATGATGCTTAGTTTGCTTGGGCTTGTTGTAAGCGTTGAGAATCTCCAAGAGTTCTTCCTTAAAATTTTCTTCCGCTATGAGGTTGCTTTTAACAGTGTCCTTCTGTTCCTTGGGAGCTTTCTTTTGCCTTTGCTTCACAGCTTTTTCTTCTTTCAGGTCATGATGTTGTTGTCTAGCTTGCTCAAAACATCTCTGTTCACTACGACCATAATACTCAGACTTTGATTCATCTCTGGCTGTTCTGCTTCTCCAATTAGGCTTCTCATCAGGTCTCCTTGGTTTTGCCTCTTTTGAATGCGAGATCTGCTTCTGCTGCTCTTTGTGTTTCCTTGGAGATCTTGACACCTAATGAAGATCGTTGAAGAAAGCATTCAGTTTGGTGTCCATAAGCTCTGGCACAGCTTCCATCAAAATCTTGTGGTTGTTGCTGCTGGTTTTTCCTCCATGATGAGACATCATTCCTAAAACAAAGCAACACACAAATCACCAGTAACTAGTCCTAAAATTCGATTTATAGATAGAAACGCATCACAATAACCCTAAAAATCATCAACAACCCTAAAAATCATCAACAACTCAAGAACAGAAACCCTAGATCGTTAGAAGGCGAAAAGACAAAAAATAAAATTTCTTGACTCTAGTGATCGATCGAGCCAGACAGTCGAGCTAGAAGATGAACAGACAATATCAAGGATTCGAATACTCAACTTTCAGAGTTTGCTCTGATACCACATGATACGAATCTCCTACGGATCGTAGACTCTGAAATCTGTTGAATGACTGGGATAGGCTTGCAGCAACTGAGCCAAAGCACAGAAGGCAAGTGGTGGATCGAATGGGGTATGACTCGAGTGTGCAGTCGAGTCAAGTGGTCGAGTGGAGTGACCGGTCGAGTGATGATCGAACGATGGTCGAGTGTGGTTCGGGCTTGACTCGAGTGTTCGGTCGAGTCAAGGTGTCGAGTCAGTGAACGGTGGATTGAAAGGTCACAGAGAGGTTGCGGAAGGCCTCTGATATACCACTGAACCTTCTCTGGATATGACACACCAAAGGAGGAACAGGATTTCTTGATGGATATTAAACACCAACAAGAGATGATCTAATCTTAAAGAGTTTTTGATTGAAAGATAGATAAGTCTCAGAGAGAGATACTGAGTTGTTTAAATTGAGAAAGAAGAGAATAAGTGATGAGGACATCGAGACTATCCTAACTAACTCCGAGGAAGAAGCCAACAACATAACAACCATGGTTCAAGCACCAAGTACAAGATCAGGAACCAAACGCTTAAGGGAACAATTCAACAAGTCCATTGAAAGCTTGATTGCACTCATAGAGCAAGAGGAACTCGAAGGAAGGTCGTTCACTAAGGATATTATCCGAGAGACACCCATTGAGCCTCAAATCAATCCAAACGTTTCAAAAGCTCAAGACTTGGAGAATGAACAAGACAACAACTATTTTGAGCAAGGAACATCCCAAGAAACCGAGATCATCAAAGATAAAGCTTGCGTGCAACTCAAGACTCAAACAGCTTCATTTCTACCGGTTTTACAAGGAATAAAGGAACCCGCTCTTTTCATCATTTCCAAAATCATTCAATGAAGGGCTGGAGCGTGCATGAGCAATATTTCCGAGGTAAGTGTTTGAATTCAAATAATAAATCGTTCTTTTCTTGTTTTGCAGGAATAAGACCGTTGGGTTTTTATTGAGTCTTTTATTTGTCTTAGGTCCTAATTTCGAGTCTGTTGTTTTGCGAGTTTAGTCCTTTATTATGTAATAATTTTGACCCTAGAAGGTCCCCAGCTGCTGGACTATTATATAAAGTCCCTTCTCAGCTTTGTATCTTTAACAAGTTTTATGAAATAAAATGAGAGTTTTCTTAGGTTAACTTCTGAGATAGAAGCAACCACGTTCTCCTTCTTCTTGTGTGTGAATCCTTGAAGATTGAGTCCAGACTCATCATAGATCCTTTCACAGATCTGTGTGGCGTCACTCACTCCACCCATCTACTCATCTTCATCTCTATTGAATCTGTTGAGAGAGACTTTAGTCCAGCAACAGTTTCACCACCTTCCACCTTTTGTTTTAGCTCGAGTAGACTCCACTCTGCGTCAGGTCGAGCTAATCGGTCGAGCTAGTTGGACGAGTCAGTCAATATGCAGGATCATGCCTGTATCATCTGGTATCAGAGCTTAAACGCTCCAAATCAGGTTTTATCTTTTCGTTTTTGTTCCGGTTCGTTTCGACTTCTTTCCTTTGTTAGATCTGTTCGTTTCTGCTCTATTGTGATTGTTCACGTTCTAAAAAGGAAACCCCATAAAAATCTTGTTTTGATCTGATCATTTGCTTGCTTAAAACCATTCATATCCTAGATCTGTCTGTTTTGAGATTTAGACCGTTCAACTTCCCGCGCACTTGATCTATTTGTTCTTTGAGACAGAAAACGTTTTGAATCATGGAAGGACAATGAGGAGATGTGAACGTGGCTCAAATACTTGCAAACATCCAAACTCAACTCCAGAACCTTGGTGATCGCATGAATGGGATTGAACAGCCCCACTTGCACCTAGAGCACCTGTTGCTGCTGTACCAAGAGACAATCAAGAATATGGTAATGAAGATCCGTTTGATTCTGAAGAGGAGCAACGTGATCTTAACCACAACCTGAGGCCAAGGAGACAGTACCATCGTGGAAGAGGAAGAGATGAGGGCAACCAGAGAGAAGGAGGCCATGATCTCAAACTCAATGCTCCAACTTTTGCTGGAAAGGTTAATCCTGATGCATACATTGATTGGGAGTGACGTATGGAGTATATCTTTGGTTACTACAACTACTCAGATCAGAGGAAGATATCCCTAGCTGCTGCTCAACTCACTGACAATGCCTTAGCTTGGTGGGATAGAGATGTATCCGAGAGAAGAAGGCATAGACATGTACCAATCACTACGTGGGAAGGCATGAGGTTTTCAGCTAAGGAAGAGATATGTCCCAGCCTACTACCACCGTGAGCTGCAGAAGAAGTTCAGAAAACTCACTCAAGGCACCAAATCTGTTGAAGAATATTATGAGGAGTTTGAATCACTTAAGAACAGATTGGAAGTAGAAGAATCCAATGAGAACTTGATGGCACAGTTTCTGGATGGACTTCATGATCGGATTGCTAGGAAAGTAGAGAGAACCATGCCGTTCGGAAGTGATTCAGAAAGAAAACTTTCATTAATTCATTTTTTCTTTAATTTCCTTTAAAGTAAAACATCTGAAACTTTTTTGAACAGGGGTGGTATTACAAAACCCCCTTTTTTCACAAATCGTTAGTTCCAGATATGTAATTTTTATATTAGAAGGATTACCATATATAACACAAAATTTCTCCGCCGATTCTTTTTAGTCGAGCTTCTCGGTCTGTCATTATACCTTGAGAAGTCGAAAGGATTACAATTCCTATTCCGCCTAAAATTCTTGGAATTCGTTGAGAGTTAGAATAGATTCGTAGACCCGGCCGACTTATTCTCTTTAAATTTAAAATCGTTTTATAGGATTCTTTCTTATTTCGTTTGTGTCTTAGGGTTAAAATCAAAAAATATTGGTTGCTTTCGCGATGTTTCCTTACGTTTTCGATAAAACCCTCTCGTAAAAGGATTTTAACAATACTTTCGGTGATGTTAGTCGATCCTATCCGAACCGTTCCTTTTCTATTCATGTCAGCATTTCGTATAGAGGTTATTATATCAGCAATAGTGTCTTTTCCCATGATAAGTTTAAAATTCCTTATTGTTCTATAATTTTGATATAATCAACATGTTCTTTTTCTTTTATTTATATATAGATATAGACGAATTATATATTAATATATGAATTAAAATTCTTAATATTTTATTATTAAGGGTATATGCGTGATACACAATCTATTAATTAATTTTATTTCAATACCAGTTTTTTTAATCTTATACTAAACTATCAATATTTAGATCTTATAATACCTCAGGAGCTAATGAAACTATTTTAGTAAAGTTTAATTGTCTCAATTCCCGTGGGATCGCCCCAAACACTCGAGTTCCTTTTGGATTTCCTTCTTGATCAATGACAACTGCGGCATTGTCATCATATCGTATTATCGTCCCATTATTACGTTTGAGTTCTTTACAAGTACGTACAATTACAGCTCTAATCACTTCTGATCTTTCTAGAGGAGTATTTGGTATTGCTTCTTTGATTACAGCAACAATAACGTCACCAATATGAGCATATCGGCGATTACTAGCTCCTATTATTAGAATACACATCAATTCTCGAGCCCCGCTGTTGTCTGCTACATTCAAATAGGTTTGTGGTTGAATCATATCATTTTTTTGTATCTCTTCTTTTAATGCAAAGGACGAAGTAAAAAAATATTGTTTGTAAAAAAATAAAATTGATAATCTTTTTATCCTTAAATGTTATTTAGCTTTTCATTCTATATTCCTATTCAGAAATAATGAATTGGGTTTTTACAGGCATTTTTGATGCCGCTATTGAAATAGCTTTTCTCGCTATATTTTCGGGTACACCACCCATTTCATAAAGGATTTTACCTGGTTTAACCACAACTACCCAATACTCGGGGGATCCTTTCCCAGAACCCATACGCGTTTCCGCAGGTCTTACTGTTACTGGTTTGTCTGGAAATATACGTACCACTACAAGAAATATGCACATTGTTAGCGCGGAAAATATGCTATAATATATATAAGATAGCGAATTCACTAATGCTATGACATCGGTAGCTATGGTAGGTTTTTGACATACGATAGCAAAATTTTCAACGCTATGATATATGCAGATACTATAGCAATATTCCAACGCTTTTATTTATTCTTATATGGCAACTGATTTTTTGTTATCGTAGGCCATTCTACAATAGCAATTCTATACTGCAATATTTTGTATTTGTCTAGCGTCATATTTAGTGCTATAATATATATGTTTATACAATAGCTCTTAAAAATTGTTATATATAATTTTGTTATTTAATTTATATGTGCTATTATACTTTCTTTCAAAACAAATATTTTAATGCTATGATTTAAGTATAGAACTGTTTTTCATTTTGCTATTATATGAGTTTTAAGAAACCTATATACTTTAATCCTGTCATATTGCATACTATAAATAATAACATATAGATATAAAAGTCATTTCACATAAATATGATTCCAATCCAACATACAGAAGTCTAGAAAATCATTCATCATACATAAAACAAGTAGTCTTAATCCAAAATACATAACAGAAGTCATAACAAGTCATAAGTTGATGATTAGCTTAGTCTTAAACTTAATTAAAACTAGCAAACCTGGACCAAAGTTTCTTCATTCCCCTGCAACAAACAATCTTATATCAGATTTGTTATATCAATAGGATCTCGATTTAAAACCAAAGCACAAGTATCACATTAATTACATACCTATGCTTAAACTCAAAAGATGACCAACTTATCCATTGGCCATGCAATAGCTGAACCAAGTGCATCTCTCATGTACTCGATTTCATCTGATGGCCTCCAAACCACCGCATCATCTATCTTCACTATATCAACCCATACTCTAGCTGCATTTAACCCCAATCGAACACAGTGGACCTTAATGTCTGGGTCGACTGAATTCACACGTCCTTCAGCAACAACCTGCTTTTTTCCACCAATATCCAGCAACTTGCATTTCTGATTTGCTTTGATAGCCTCAGCTCCAATTTTACGCTGCCATGTTTACATAATAAAATCAGTTTATGACATATAGAAAAATAACCAAAATGTAACTTCATAGCATTTTAAAAAGATTTACCGGGGATCTTCGAGGAGGGGATTGTGAAGCTAGTTGAGTTTTCTTTACAGGAGATTTAGGACATGCTGGTGGAGACTTCTCAGAAGGAGGTTTTAAGAATGTTGCTGCAGATTTTGAACCTGAGGCTGTAGCTCTTAGACCTGTTGCTGCTGATTTAGAACCTGATGCTGCTGATTTCTGAGCTGATGCTACTGATTTCTGAGCTGATGGTACTGGGTTCTGAGCTGCTACTGACTTCTGAAGAGGAGATTGCTGACCTGTTGCATCTGTGGTGTTTTCGAAGACAACTTTGTTCGCAGGCCATGATACAAAGACTTTAAACAGTCCTCAATGTATGTTATATCTATCGTAGGCCTCCAGATAAATGTATTATGTTCATGTACCACATCAACAAATACTTTCACTGCATTTGGTCCGAGAGGAAGCCCATTTACTAATGCATTCTGTTCTTGGGTCTGCCAGCGTCCTTCAGCCACAACCACATCATCTGAAGTCAAATCTAGTAGCTTGCATTTGTTCTCTGAATTACTTCTTTGGCCCTGTCAACCACACCGTTCAGACAATATAATCATCATATATATATATATATATATCTATATATTATAGTACAAATGAGAATGAACAATAAACTTACCAGTGGTGTAATGTCTTCTGGTTGGAGCTCCTGTTCTAGGTTAACACACTTAGAGGCAGGCCAAGCGATCATCTGTCCAACAGCTTTCTCAATTGTGAACATGTTAATCGCAGGTCTCCAAAGGTATGCTTCTGGTACAATAGCAATCTCAACCAAAACCTTTAAATATGTAGGACCTAAGCGACAATCATTCACTAAGTCATCCGGATTAGAAGTAATAATACGCCCCTCAGCAACAGTTGCATCACCACCAGTCCAGTCAGTCAAGATACACTTTGGTTGTGATTTTGTTTACACTCTACAAAAAGATTAATCAAATAAATAATAGAGTATATAGAAACAAAGAAATCACACATCAGACATATATGTCTTACTCTAGCTGCAGCTGAGTTCTCACCAACTTCAGGATCTTGTCTCTATTAAAAAAAAACAAAAAACAAAGTCAAATATTGTGTATTAATGCAGCAGCTTAATCTAGAAATAGAGAAGTGTCTAACCTGGTTCTTCATTTTTTCAATTACATCTTGTAATTCATTGACCTTAAGCTGGAGATTAGCTTGTTTCTCTTGCATTTCAGCCATACATTTGTTCTTCACTTGGAAACAAGCTAATTTGGTCTTAGTCATGTTTCTACCCATTACCCTCAGACGACCAGGATTATCAGGTCCTAATAGTTGGCTAAGTGAATCTTGTGCTTCAAATGTCGCAGATGATGGAGCATCACTATTAACAAGATCAGCTGCCTTTCTCTGCAAATCACAAAAGCTCAGATTTAAATGTTATTATATCTGTCAAATGAAAACTTAAAAAAGAGAACCACAACTGTTATTATAACTCACAATCTTCTCAGCCGCATTTGTATTAACTGGTGTACCATCTTTTCTGGTACGTGACTTGACCCAGACCTTAAGCCTTGACACTTCACCTGGATTTGGACTCTCTTTTTTCTAAACCAGCCAATGAAAATAGTCAATGGAAGTCTTTATTATTAAAGTAGACTGATGAGTTTAAACAACATATTTGTAGTATGATTACCATGTCTTCTGTTAATCTAACCATTCCTTTGCGGCTAGTGGTGTGAGGAATCTGGTTGCGCCTTCTTTCTTTATAGCTATCGCTCACAACCTACCATATTAAGTGTATTATGTAATCTACTATATCAGAAATAAACTTAGCTAATTCCAAATGAATACCTTGAATTCCTTGCTAGTTTTGAGCTTGACAAATTTTCGCCATTCAAATGGAGAAACATTCTTTGGACGCAGATTCATCCTTTGTTGGTTAGTCTTGGCTTCTCTAATCCGGGTAACAAGACGTGATTTCCATGACCTCCACAGACATCCCATCTGTTTAAGAAGTGCAGTCTTCTGGTACTCTTCATCTACCTCAAATCTTGCCTGCAATCATTTACAAAAAAAAAAAGTCAATGGAAGTGCAATATCTGAAGACCAATATATGATTAAGTAAATAGAGTATATGGCAATGTTAAGCAAATCTTACATGGACAGATTTCCATAGAACTGTCTTGATTTCTTCAGTTATTTTAGTCCAACGATCAAACGTGATAGGAACATGTTCCCGTACCAATGCGCCTACGTATGAAGACATCTTCACTGACCCTTTACCATAATGTTCTCCCATGTTAGTGTACTCTACTTGTACTCTGGTATTTGGATCCTTGGCAATGTCTTTCATGCGTGTTGGTCCTCGCTGTCTCTTTCTCTTTCTACCAACAAGCTCAAGATCTTCAGAGAATTGTATCTCACCTTCAGGCTCTTCGTCATTCAGAGCTTTGTCAGGCTCTTCTTCATTCATCCCCTTATCAGGAACTTCTTCATTCAGCTTTGTTTCTTCATTCATCCCCAAATTACCTGCCTCATCTTCTACTTGATCTTCTGTTTCTACCAAATTATCCGGCCCATCTTCTACTTGAGTTTCTGGTTCTACTGGTTCTGGTTCACGGGTACCCACATATTCTACCTCATCATCATTCTTCTTAGATACTCTTCCTCTCTTTTTCTTTGATTTCCCCATTTTAACTCACCTGAAAAAATGAGAGAACAAATAGTTAACACATTTATGATTCAACAAATCCAAATTAGAGAAAAAAAAGACATCAGACAGACATCAGACAGACATCAGACATATCACAGAACATATATGATACACACGAATCAAAATGAGAGAAAAAAAAAGTAAGAATGAGAGAACAAACAGACATCAGACATATCACAGAACATATATGATACACACAAATCAAAATGAGAGAAAAAAGAGTAAGAATGAGAGAACAAACAGATATCAGACATATCAACAAGCTCATCTAAAGGTATAAATGATGAAGAAGCTACATTTCAAACATAAATTCCTTCACAATCAGTTCTCTCATTTTCTGCTTCATCCAAGTCATCACCCATGTCAATATTGGCTGGTAATGGACAAATGTCTGCAATTCCATCTTGAAAATCTTTCTGACTGAATCTCCTTGAAGGACCTCTCATAGCAACATACCAACTTGATGACTCGTCTTCCCTTGAGTAAAAAACTTGCTTTGCTTGAGAGGCTAATATATATGGATCCCTTGAAAAACTTACTTGACTATGATTAAGGTTAACAAGTGTGAAACTATCTTCTTCTTTTACTCCATTACCCTTCACTGCCCATGCACACCGGAATAAAGGAACATAGAACACATTATAGTCCAACAAGATAATATCAGTTACTCTCCCGTAGTAAGATACCAAATCCACCACTTGTGAAGTATCCTTAGCACTAGACCTACAAATTGTCGTAGCCTCATAAAAACACCACTATTCTGACTTTGTCTATCCACTGAACTTGTGTGAAACCGCTGCCCATTGACTATATAACCTCTATATGACCGTGCATAACTACGTGGACCAAATGCCAACCATTTAAGTGTTTCGTCATGTCTGTTTGAATCAAGAGGTATCTAGCAATATGAAAGAAAATAAATGTCAGAAACTTAGCAAGAAAAATAGGACAGATCTTCAAATAAACTAATACTAGCCTGTGCTTTTAGCCAAGAGGCAAAATTCTGATTATGCATACTCCATAATGTTGATGCATCACGTCTACATCTTCCATTTGAGTCTTGTAGATATTGCAGATGTTCACTTGTAAGTCAAGAAGAAAATAAGAAGGAATCAGATGTAGTAAATTCATATATAGAACTGTTAAATGAAGTAGCTAGAAAACTGTGGAACTTACTCCACATAAGAATCAACCAAAGCCATATTCTGGATGACAGCCATATGGGCTATTTTCTTCTCCATTTCAGTGAGAGAAAATGTCTTCCCTGCAGATATAGGACGCCCCTCAAGAATAGAACTATTATCATACTCAGTGTTTCTGTCAACTTTCTCTTGAACATTTGTCGTCTTCTTCAAAAATTCATTACAAAATTGGATGCATTCTTCAGCAAGATAGCACTCAGCAATGCACCCCTCTGGTCTTGCAGTGTTTCTGAAAAAGTCTTTCAGGACTTTCATATATCTCTCGAACGGGTACATCCATCTAAAATGAACCGGTCCACCTAGTCTAGCTTCCCTTCCTAGATGTACCGTCAAGTGTACCATGATATCAAAGAAACTTGGAGGGAAAAATGTTTTCAAACATGCAGAGAGTTTCAACAACCTCAGCTTCCAATGTCAAAATGTGCTCCCTATCAATTACTCGCTGACACAAGTGGTTGAAGAATGAGCATAAGCGTACAATTGCTACCCTAGGACCTTTAGGTAACAAACCTCTAATTGCAATGGGAAGAAGCTGTTGCATTAGCACATGATAATCATGTGATTTCAGCCCTATGATCTTACAGTCTTGTAATGATACGCCTCTTGATATGTTGGAGCAGTATCCATCTGGGCCTTTGAAGTCAAAAAGTCGCCAACAAAAAATCTTCTTTTCTGTCTTGGATAAAGACCACATTGCTGCAGGCAGGTAAGTCCTTTTTCCTTTGGTTTTAGGGTGCAATTCCTTCCTAATTCCAAGCTCCTCCAGATCTTTACGAGCATTAAGACCATCCTTAGATTTGCCACAATGCAACAGTGTCGATATAATACTCGCAACCACATTTCTCTCCACATGCATCACATCTAAGTTATGTCTCACGGGGAGTTCCTAACCAACACACATATAAACAAAAGAAATATCAAACACAGATTATTGAGGAAATCTGGAAAAAAAGTAGCTTGAAATAAAAAACATAACACACCTCCCAATATTGTAGCTTGAAAAAGATAGACCTTTTCTTCCATCTAGATAACTCATCCTCGTCTACTTCTACTTCTTCCTCTTCTTCTTCCTGTGGAAGTCGAAACTAACACAATCAAGATTTGTCTAGGGTTTTATTTTAGGGATACGATAAACGTGAATTCTCAAAGAACAACAGAAACAATTGTAACCAAAGATGGTGTTCTTGATCTTATTGATGAAAAGAACATTTTTGATCGTACAAGAGTTTGATCGTAAAAGAAAAAAGGTGTTTGTGCTGTAAGAGCTTTGTGTAGTGTCAATTCTAGAGCGATATTGCTTACCCCCTCTGTGAGAGCCTTGAGTCTCTTTATATAGGGATGGTAAACCGCCTCTCCAGCGATATTCTCGGAAGATTTCCATTTATCTTGAAGTCGGCTTAGAATATCGCGGATTAGGATACTTTCCTTATTCTTCGGAGCTTCTCGGAAGTTTTCCTGATTTGAGTTGATCCTGCGAGATTCTTCCCTATCATTTCCGGGTTTATCGGAAATGATCACTTTTTTCGGAAATGATGCCTTGCTTGGAAATGGTACTTCGATGGCGAGTATTCCTCTAAGTCTTTGCCTCGGGCGGATGATAACTTTACCTCGGGTAGCATGGATGATGGCAGGACACTCGACCCGAGCCGAGGAGACTGGGCTCGGGTACTTTTATCGATCACGTTTGGGTATTTGAAGAGAAATAGCTCGCGCGCACGAGGTGAAAACAGATCGGGTGCACGAGGAGAACCAGCTCGGGTGCACGAGGAGAACCAGCTCGGGTACCAGAGCTTGCTATCAGAAACCGAAGTAAACTCCAGTTTTTCCCGAGGTGGATACAATGCTGCCCCGAGGTGGTGTTTGAAGCTTCCGAGGCGCTCAAAGTCTAGCTCGGGCCAAAAGGTTGAATCCGACCCCAACAGGTAGCCCCCAGCTTGTTAGTTTGGAGAACCAAGCGTAATAAGCTTCATGATGATTGGGCCGAGCCATGTATTATGTTCCGAGCCGTTGATGTGTGCCGAGGCAATTCGTTCTTCGAAGACAGTTCACCCCCTTATTCTGATGATTCGATTTTTTCTATCGTTTCGCCTTCCTCTGGCGTGTGACGGTTGGGATTCCGTCTCGAGAAGTGGAAAAGTCCTCTGCTGATTCCCGAGATCCGTGCGGATGTGACGCAACTTAATATTTTTCACGCGTGCCCGACGCGCCTGAGATTTGGGCGGATGTGAAATGCTCTTGCGACTTATGCGTGCCCGACGCGCCGAGGCACTCTATAAATACCGGACTCCTACTTCATTTTCTCATTCCGCAACCTGCAAGGAAAAAATTCTAAGGTTCGCTTCTTCTTTCTCTGATCTTGATTTCTTTGTTTTCCTTTGCTTCGTTTTATTTTCCGTCGTTTCTCCGCCCTGTTAGATCTTAGTTTTGACTTCTCCGATCTCCAAATCATGTTTCTTCCGATCAATCTCTCCCAGTTCATCCGAGCCAGATGTCTCTCTCTGACTCTAGTGGTTCATCCCGAAGTGATAACCTTCTCCCTGTTTATAAGAGAAAAATGGTTTGGAGTTCTTCAAGTGATTCCGAGGCGAACGTCTCGGATCGTCAGATCGAGTTGTTCCGCGGCAGTGATGCAGAGTCGGCCTCTCGGGAAGAAGACCCGAGCCGTTTCATCGCTCGGGAAGACACGATTGCAGATGTGGCTCGGGATCAGGATTTGCCCGACGATCCCGAGGCGATGTTAAGTAGGAGGGGGGTCCGTCCACCGGCAGTTGGTGAAGCTGGAGTCTCGTGTTGGCAAAATGCACCCGAGGCGCCTCCACTTTCTATTAAGGCCGAGGAGGTTCACTATGACTCTGACGAGGCGGCCAGGTTACTTCAAGCTAAAGTTCAAGCAGCCAAAGGTCAACAGAAGAGAAGACGAGCCAAGAAAGCGAAGAAGCCCGATCCCCCGGGTTCCACCTTATGCACGGAGGATTCCCTTAGGGATCTCAAGGCCCGGTTCGGTTTTAGCGAGGGGATTGAACTAAGACTTCCAACTCCGAATGAGCGAGCAGATGATCCACCCGAGGGGTTTTTCACCCTTTATGAGGGGTTCTTTTACCACTGCTACCTCTGGCTTCCGATTCCGAGGCCTATATTGGCGTTTCTATGGTCGTACAAGATTGCTTTGTCTCAAATCACGACCCGAGGCCTGCGCCATCTTATAGGGATTATGGGCCGAAGTATCGAGACGGTCAACTTTGTTGACCTTAGCCACCTAAGGAATCTGCTAGAAATCCGGCGCATACCGGGACCTGTTGAGAGGTTTTACATTTCTCCGAGGCCGAATAGGAGGGTTATCGGCGGATTTCCGAGCAAGGATGAGAAATATACCGACCACTTCTTCTACGTAGCCTTGGATGAGTATAGTGTCCATGAGGACTACTTAGGGAAAGTTGTTGGAAAGTGGAGAAAAATCGGTATTATACCCGAAGTCGTATTTGCTGTTCTGCTTTATTTTAAACTTCTTATTGACCATTTTCTTGTTCATGCAGATCGGAACCCGTCATTTCTTGAAGACATTCCCGAGGGCTTTCTAGATCTTCACGACGAACTGATAGCTCGGAAGTGTGATTGGACGAAACATTTCTCCCGAAATAGAATTGAGAGGGCCTTACGTTTGTTGCACGGAGCTCCTTGCCAATCTTCTTCAGAATCATCTGATCATCGCCTAGATCACCTTATCGAGATGCAGGGTGCCGCGGAATCTTTGAGAGCGAAGAAGGCTGCCGAGAGGAAGGTGGCTCGGGAAAGGGCGATACTGGAGGCGAACTTCAAACCGCCTACTCCCCCCAAAGTCAGGAATGACTCCGAGGTCGCTGTTGATACCGAGGCGATCGACGAAGCTCGGGAAGACACGGCTCTGGTTGAGGCCGAGGCCTCTGTTGATGTTTTGTCGACAGAAGTCCCCAAGGCGGTAGGGACCTCGGCTATTGTTGCTCTGAATGCCGAGGCGAAAGCTAAGGCGAAGGGTAAGAGGCCCCGAGGCGATAGCTCGGGAGGCCGTAGGAAGGAGAAGAGGAGTCGCAATGAGGCTCCCATCTACAAGGATAAGATAGCCTCTGCTAATCTTATCGCTTCTTGCTCGGGTCCGACCCTAGCTGCGCCCGAGGCCTTGCTGGAGGCTGAAAGTTACCGCGAAACCGCTGCGGGATTTTTGAAGGTACTGGTTCATCTCCGAGGCATCTTAGGCCTTTTAAAATTTAGAATTCTTGGTACTAAAAACTTAAGTTTTTGCGTCCCAGGCTTTCCATTCGATGAACTCCATGGTTCGAGCCTACGACTCTTCGAACCGGAAATGCGAGACTTCCCGAGCCGAGGCGGAGGTCAAGATTGCTGAGGCCGATGCCAGGATTGTCGAGGCGGATGAGGCCAGGCAGAATGCCGAGGCGTTGGCCAAAGCAGAGAAGGTCGAGCGGTTGAAGACGGCCGAGGATGGTCTTCGCCTTCGACGGAAGTTCGAGGCTGAAATCGAACGCTTGAACCGGCTATTCACCGAGGAGAAGTCTCTTCGGGAGAAGGAAGTAGCTCGGGAAAGAAAAGCGGCCAAGAAGGAGTTCGCCAAGAAGATCGAGGCGATAGAGGTGTACGGGAAGGCGTCTGAGCGCTACATGTTCCTGGTGCAGGCCAGGGCCAATGCCGAGCTGATTGCCGATCTTGAAGGCGGCAAAAATGTCGAAGATGAGAAGGAGGAAGTACTCCAGTGGAAAGCGGAGTATGGGGATGCTGAGGAAGAGTTTGTTCGGATTGGGACCGAGCTGCGGGAGGATCTGAGGCTTCCTCCGGCTTCTCCCGATTCTGTTGAAGATAGTTTTGGAAACAGATCAATCGAGGGAGTTGCCGCGGGGATCGGTATTACGGATCATGCGGGCACGAATCTGAGTTCCGAAGCCGCACACGTTCCGGAGGAGCAGGACAAGTAGATCCGTGGCGTACTCTTTTCTATTTTTTTATTTTGAATCTTTGTAAGACTTGATGCCTGGACGGCTTTATCCATTGAAAATGAATGTACTTTCTGGTTTCTCGAGAAATTTCTAGTCTCGGAGTTTAACTTTTCGAACCATCTTAAATCCAGTGTTTAGTACGAACTAGGGTACCAACTGGGTTTTAGTACGTATAACTCATCGGTTTTCGGTCAAGTAGGAGTTAAACTTCCAAACTGTTTTAGTTTCTGAGACGACAAAGCGAATCGTGTACCAGTGTTAAGGAAACTGGGTTTTGGTAAGTGGGACTAATATCTTTTTCGGTTGCGACCCGAGCTGACATAGTCGATTGCCAGTGCTTAGAAGCGAACTAGGGTACCAGTGTCGAAGTCAACTGGGTTTTCTGAAGACAATTTCTCTATGGCAAGATATCTCCGACCGAATTGTCTTGAATGCTTATATAGCGCGCTGT